GAGTAGGAATTTAGAGGTGGAAAGAGATAAATTAACTAATTTGAGAATGATTGGATAAAATATTGAAGAGAATTCTTTAAGTAAATTAGAAGGAAGTAGATCTAGAGAACAGGTTGTAGACGACATAGAATTAATAATTTTAGTTAGTTCTAAAAGATTTATTGGAGTAAATACAGAGAAAGATTCAGTAGTAAGTTTAGTAAAGTTATGAGAAGGAAAATTAGAATTAGATGTTCTTAAAGAAGTAATTTTATTTACAAAAAAGTCATGAAACTGTTGAGCAGAGAAAGATGAGTGAGAAGATTTTTTATGTAGAAGTTCAGATAGAACAGACCACCTATTTTTAGATGTTGAAGCAGATGTTATAGAATTTCTAAGAAAAGTAGAGTGTTTAGAGAATAGTAGATATTTATAATTAATCAATTCAGATTCATAGATAGAATAAAGAGAGTTAGATGGATTTAACCTATAGGCTTTCTCCAGTCTTCTAAGACTTTTCTTGGCTACTACACAAGCATAATCAAACCAAGGAGCCTTACGAGAATAGAGCCTATAAGTAAAAGATTTAAGAGGAATAAGCTTATCAAGAATAGAAGTAATGTAGATATTAAAAGCACAGACAAAATCATCAACATCAGAAAATAAGGTAGTATCAAAAATAGGTTCAGTAAGAGATTGAAGAAAAATATCTTTATTAAGAGAAGACCAGCATCTTTTAGAAATAGACATAGATGAATAGATAAACACACATAAGTGTGTGTCTGTGCGTTTTTGAGTGTGTATGTGTAACGTGTATGTGTACGTTTTACATACTCTGCACGGAATTTTGTTAGAGGACTAGAGCTTTAACGCTTGTGTTCATGTCATGGAATTTTAAACTGGAATCGCCATATCGTATCTTTCCAATTTGTACACTCCATTGTAAGCAAGAGAAGAAATGAAGTCTAGCATCTATTAAAATTAATCACTTGCCTTCATTTGCCGCTTAATGAGCTAACTGTTCCATGGTGTATTGCACATGCACAATTCCACAATAATCAAATTTCCGAGTTCCTCTACAGGATTCGTTTCTAATTACCGAAAAAAGTTACATCTCCGTGAAAATGTGAATTCCAGTTTCCATATATAAGCAGGTAACATTACGCTTCGCTCGCTCCTACACTTCGATCGCATCTCGTCGCTCCTCGAATTTTATTTTACGGCGAAAGTGAGAAAATTTTGAATTGAAATTTAGTTTAACTTATTATTAATTAATTATCATGTCGTATTTGGTGTCAGTGTGTTTTAAGTTTTTAATACGTAATAATGTTAGCTACCGCCCACTCCTGTGAAATTGAGATTTTAATTTTTATGACTGTCAACTTATTTATAAGCTTTATATTTTGTAATTAGTTTAAATTTAAAACTATTTTTGACCTCCAATCAATTTAAATAAATATTAAAGTTTATAAACTTGAATAGTTTAGAAAGTAAAACTTACATAAAGTTTCTAACCAATATCCTTAACATGTCCTCAAATATGACCTTGACCTGCATATGCTGCTAAAGTCAAGTTAAGGTTGAGAGCTGGCCTTCTGTTTGAAATTTAAATGACCTGAAGCTCAAAATACGTTTCCCTCTTGTGCAGAATTAGATTTTTGCATTGGAAAAATTTGCAAAAAAATGTTCGAACACTTTTCTTGAACCTTTGTACTTAGTGCTGCCCTGTTTCAAAGATAGATGTTAAGATGTTGATGCATTGTTGGTGCATCTATATGTCAACATTTTGGCTTAATTAAATGTTTCTTTATTTATTTTAAAATGGCCTATTTCGTTTTATTGTTTGATTTAATATTTAATATTAATGACCATAACTAACCAGGCTGTCAGATTAATCAAGTAATTGAGTTCTTTGTTATTGTGAAATAATCAGGAAGTTGGATCAAAATTAATTTAATAAACAAAATTTGTTGAAGGTCTCTTGAAATACGATGACTCCCAAGATTGGAATCAATGGGTAAGCTTTGAATATCTACTTATAAAAATGTTTGCAAATGAATCTCGGACAGTAAACTGAAGCTTCTCAAATGCATTTTTCTATTTTTGTCTGTCACAGTTTTTTTTGACTTCTTTCAATTCATAATTTCAATAAAATATTAAAAAGTTGTGAATTTTTGGTGCTAGATAACTTGGGTTTAATAATGTTTTGTTTAAATCATTTAACAACATTTTAATAATAATTAAAATTAAAAAGATTTGGTCGTATTGGACGTCTGGTAGTTCGAGTTGCAATCGAAAAAGGTGTGGAGGTTGTTGCCATCAATGACCCATTCATCGACCTCGAATACATGGTTTGTTCGTCATCTTGTTTGCCTGTTCTTCACCTTGTTCATCTGTTCATCACCTTGTTTGTCTGTTTATCACCTTGTTTGCCTACTCTTTCTTTGTTATATTTGCCACTGCTGTATTCTATGCATTGTTGTTTAAAGCTCATTTCATAATACTCAAGTGTAGACATGTTCAAGTGTATATTTCCTGCAAATATTACTTCCAATGTTTTATGTTCATGTTATATAAGCAATACTCTGCCATATTACAGAATGAGAGATTTATCTGTTGACAGGATAATTTATAGGTAATTCTTTTCATTTCACATGCTGTTCATCTCCAGCTAATAAAATTTTCAACTGATCTATACATGCTTTGACTTGTCAAACATCATTAAAAGCCCTTCAAATGACATTGAAACTATTAACTTTGACATTGAGATGACCTTCAATTCTTCATTCAACCTTGACATTCCTTCTTAATTGATCTTGAATATAATCACTCACCACCTTGAAACAGGTGTATATGTTTAAATATGACAGCACCCATGGAAAGTTCAAAGGTGAGGTAGGTCACGATGGAAAGAAGTTGATCATCAACGGACACCACATCTCTGTACACAACAGGTCTGTCTGTGGGCTTGCCTCTATGCTTGTTTGTTTGTTTGTTTGTTTGTGTGTTGTTTGTGTGTGTGTGTGTTTGTTTTGTTGTTTGTGCGTGTGTATGTTTGTTTGCTGGATTGAACATGCTTCTTTGTATGTTTCTTGATTTATTTGGTATTCTTGTGTTCTTATTTTGTTTTATTTTCTATTTGCTGTTTAAATAGGAGCTAATTATGGTTATACTTAGGAAAATTAAGGCAGTGGTCTGTTGGCAATCATAAGTTATTCTTCCTTCAGTATTGTTGACTCTCTTGTCATTCATTGCTGCACATGTTCATGCTCACAAATATTAGTATAGAACATTGGATAGTGAATTATAAATGCAATTAGTTATGTAAACCTGGTGAATATTTAATATAAATAATTTTAATAAATTGAAATTTCTTGTGACCACTCACAGCAAGGACCCATCTGCCATTCCATGGGGGGCTGATGGTGCGGAGTATGTCGTTGAATCCACCGGGTGCTTCACCACCGTCGAGAAGGTCTTCTTGCTGTTGTTGTTTTCAATGTCGTTGTTGTTGTTGTGGTGGTTAATGTTATTGTTTTTAATGTCGTTGTCGTTAATTTTGTTGCTGTTGTTTGTATTTCATAAAGATGTTGATAATTTGTTGTTGTTGTTGATATTTTGCTGATGATTTGTTTTTGTATTTTGCTTGTAAATAATAATTTTTAGTGCAACTTTTTTGCTTTATTAGATAAATTCTTCTTAAAATTTCATTTGTAGTAGTACACCAAACATCCTACATTATCTTATAACCATTGCCAATGGAAACAAACAAACCCTTACAATCTCACCCACTTCAGGCGTCTGCTCACTTGAAAGGTGGCGCCAAGAAGGTGGTCATATCCGCCCCATCTGCCGATGCCCCCATGTTCGTTATGGGGGTGAACGAGGATGGCTACAAGAAGGAATATAATGTCATCAGGTTGCTGATGTGATCGGTGCCACGATGTGATGTCTTGTTGTTTCAAATGGTCTTGTACTGTCTTGTTGTTGCTACATTTTGATGTGTTATTGTATTGCCGTAATGTGTGCTTACCATCAGCGCCAATGAATGTCATAACAATAACATCAATAATGAATCTCAAACAGTAATGCATCATGCACCACCAACTGTCTGGCCCCTCTTGCAAAGGTCATCCACGACAAGTTCACCATCATCGAGGGCTTGATGACCACCATCCACTCGTACACTGCCACCCAGAAAACCGTTGATGGGCCTTCCAACAAAGATTGGAGGGGTGGGAGAACTGCTGCCCAGAACATCATCCCTTCATCTACTGGGGCTGCTAAGGTATGTGCGAGCGTGTGTGTGTGTATGTGCGTACATGTGTGTGTGCGTGTGCATATAAATGAGTTTGTTGGATGAAGAGTGTGATGAGTTAAGAAAATGATTTGAAATTTTTTGTATTCATTGCTGTTTTTTAATGGCAGTATTATTTTTTCTCAAGTGTTTCTGTTTGCTTGTTTTAAAACCACAATGCAATCATGAAAGCAATCAATGAGATTAATGTTTTTTTAGCAACATTAATAATAGTAATTTAATAGTATTAATGGTTTAATAATAATAATAACAATAATAATATGTTGTGAAGTGATAATGAAAATGATTGACAGGCTGTCGGCAAGGTCATCCCAGCTTTGAATGGTAAGTTGACAGGCATGGCCTTCAGAGTGCCGACCCCCAACGTGTCAGTCGTCGATCTGACAGCTCGCCTCGAGAAAGCTGTTAGTTCTGTCTTTAGTGCTATGATCATAGTGATCTTCATTATTAGTATAATCGTCTTCGTCATTTTCAAGCTACCCATCATCACTACAATCAACCTCAATCTTTCTATGTTGTCATCATCTAGACCAATATCACCATCTACTGATATCATCATCTCTACAAATCTTGTCATCTTCTCTACTGATATCATCATTTAACCAATATCACCACCCCTTCCACTAATATCATCATCTTCTCTACCAATATCATCGTCGTCATCACTGACTCGCCCCTACCCTAGGCCAAGTACGATGAGATCAAGGCCGCGGTGAAGGCAGCCTCAGAGGGTCCCCTGAAGGGAATCTTGGGTTACACTGAGGACCAGGTGGTCTCGACTGACTTCAACACCTCAAGTTACAGCAGCGTATTCGATGCCGGTGCTGGTATCTCACTCAATGATCACTTCGTCAAACTGGTGGCATGGTTCGTTCGTTGTTGCAACTGTTTTGTTTGTTATTGTTGTTGCAGTTGCTGTGTTATACTTGTAATGTTGTTGTTGTTGTTTTTTGATAGTGTTAGTTTGCTGCTTACGTGTTGATATCATTTGGCTTTCTCTATACCAACACGCAGGTATGATAATGAGTACGGTTACAGCAACAGAGTCATTGACCTCATCAACTATGCATTCAAGGTCGATCATGCATAAATTATGCTAGTGTAATCAAGCCAGCTCATTATCATAAATTATGTTAATGTCGTGGCTATCGAATTCGATTATTATAAATCTGTTGTTTTGCCGTGTCGTTTGATTGTTGTTTGCTAGACATAATTTTTTTTTCATTAATTGTTACATAATTATACATCACTGCTATATTATGATTATGTTAATTAGGGTTGAACGTTGTAAACAATATTATTGTTTTTAAAATGTGATTCCGATGAATTTCTATGATCAGGAGAGAGATTTTTTTTGAGTGCACATCGTGTTATGAAGGCACGCAATTCTTACCTTTTGGTGTCTAACTCATTTTTTCAAATAATTTTATTAAGGCGGTTTTCAGTTGCAAAATCTGTTTTGTTGCTGGATTTTGATTGGGAATTGTTAAAAGTTAATAAAAATTTGAAAAAAAACACTCAACAAAACTTTTTTTTTCGACTCAATACACGTAGTTTTTAACTTCAGAAGATTTAAAAACGTGATTGTCAGCCGAAAACGAGCGGTTTCTATAGCTTCATACCTATCGGATTATAAAACCAGAAAATGATTTCAACGGTTCGACTGCTTTTTGTTAAGTTAGCAACTCAGTAGTTGATAATAATAAAGAATAAATATTGGGTTGATGTAGATGTTTACATTCAACGACTGAAGGAAATGCTTTACGTGTTCCTGAATCTACAGATATTTATTTATGAAGAAACTTATGGATGAAAGAGTTCGGAGGTCAGGTGTTACAGATTTAATGAAGTAATCAATGATGAATCACAGAAAAAAAATGAAATAGTATCTCTCAAATAACATGCCAGCTTGAAACGTAATTGGTTTTGGTTCGCTCTGCGATGTTAAATAAGGCAACAACATTTGATTAAAATTTGTTTAAAATTTATCCAAACATCAACTAACTAACTAATCACGCCCCAAGATTAATTGTAATTGACTACTGAAGGTCATAGCTTAAAGTCATGGACCCAATTTGTCATCTCCATTTTACCACCATTTCTTAAACTGTCACCACTATTTCTTAATTAGTCACCACTATTTTTTAATTCGTCATCACCATTTTTCCCCATTTTTCAATTCTTCATCACCCTTTCCTAATTCTTCATCCCTACTTTGAAATTTGTCACCGCCAGGCAAGACCACCTTGGTCGAAAATATGAAATATTCATGTTCTCCAGCAAGTTGCAACTTGCTGACCTTACGATCTCCGGAACGGAGTAGTTTTAGAAGTTTCAGTCTGTAATTATATTTTAAATGTCGATAAATTTTTTTTTATAATTTCATCATTTATTTTTACATTAGAATTAATCGCATTGTCGAGTCTGTAACTAAAGGAATATACTGTTCAAAAGTATCTTGATTGTTTAGTAGTAAACTACAAAATGGTACTTATAAGTAACACAAATCCGTAGTACTCATGACAGGTTGAAATCAGTTGTTGATGAAATATTTGAATGGAGGAGGTTTGGGCAATGGGGTCGGTTTTTTCCTCTTGATTTTTTTCAGCCTCGTGTACAGGTGGTCCTTCAAACAATTTTCCTGGAATTAGAAAGTATTTTTTTTAATTTGAAGTTTTTACTTGTGATTAATGAAGTAATCAATGAATTTATTAATAAATTGAAGTTTCAATAATATTACAAACAAAG